AACAACATGCACTAAAAACTAAAAATACTATAATAAAAAATTTAATACAAAGAGATAAAAATATAAAAGAAAAAAAAATGAGTTAATGTATATATTTGGTTAATGTGACTTCGTTGATTTGACGTTATCTAAATTACATGAATATGTTAAGATGACAATATTAACAATAATTCATAATAATTATCATTGATTTCGATGAAATATGATAAATGCCATTTCATATATATAAATTCAACAATATGAAACAATAGTTTTGGTTAATAGGAACAAGATTGTATATTTTTGCAAATATACACAATTATTCTTTTGTAATATTTTTATTTCATTTGGACAAGACGAAACTTGTTTTTAAAAACTTTTTGTTTCTCTTTTTCAGTTTTTTCTTACAAAAGTTTATTTGTCTATTAAGTAATTTTAATTAGCTCATTGACTGTACTGTCTAATACTAAATTATTTTATAGATATGACTAATCAACTAATATTGCTCTAGATTCATGAATTTTTTCAATGTGCTCCTTTTGATTTAGTTTGTTTTGTTTCAACGTTGAATTAATAGATTTTTCATTTGCTTCTGTTTGTTATGATAATAAAGATGAAAAAATATTATATTTGTTGGTAATCTATTATAAAAAAAAAAGACAAACATACAGCAATCAACTTGAGATAAACAGAAACACGAGCTTTTCTGGTGATAATTGAAAGACAAATCCTTTAAAAATAAAGTGATCGAATTATTCGAGAAATAATATGAGAATCTTATTATTATTTCACTTTCCTAAGCTAAATTGAATTTTATTTCAAAATAAATTTAATTTACATATCTAATAATAACATGTTTATTTAATTAGAAAGTTAATCATGAATTAAATTGATTTTTTTTAAGTTTTATTTTTTAACTAAAGATAAACAATATTTATTTGATGAAATATGATGATGAAATGTCTAGTTGACTATGATTTCTAAAAGAAAAACAAAAGAAATATTAAATACTGATATTCATTACCCTTACTTTTGTTGATTGATTAATGTTGCTTGTTTTTGTTGTAATTCTTTTTCTTTATCCATCAGTTTTTTTCGTCGTGTAAGTTCGTAAATTTCATTTCCTACATGTATTATGAAATCATCAACATCTTTTAAAGATCTACATAACAAAAGAATTGTTTTGTTTTTCAATAAATCATCCATAAGATATCTTTTAAACTTACTCATCATTTTCATTAATAAAATTGTTTAGAGGGATTTTCAAATCTAATTGATTATATTCATCCTAGAAAAAGAAAAGAATTAAAGGTAATATGTAATAGTTGATATTTACCGTCTTCAATTCAATAGAAAAATTTTCATTATCAAAATATTGTTTGGTATGTATGAAGAAATTTTGTCCAAAATAATCAATATCAATTGAATTCGTTTCACTTTTTATCCAATCGATAGTTACTTGAAACTAAAACATAAAAGTTAATCAACTGAAAAAAAAAGACTAATTCTTACTATACGCATGAGAATTTCATATGAAAGACCATAAATATCTGTTGAATCATTTTCACTTTTTATCTCGTCCATAATTTTATTATACTAAAACAAAAAAGTTAATCAACTGAAAAAAAAAAAAAAATTGATTTTTACTTCGTTGTTATTCACCATTTGAAAATTTCGACTTAAAAAAGTCCAATGAACCAAAACGAGCAATTTTTCTCTTGGATGTTCGTACTTGTTTCGATGTGCATGTAAAAGAATGTCAAGAAATTTAAACCTATCTGTCATTGTTATCTATAAAAATAATGAATAATTAATTCTTCATTTACATAGGGAACAATAAATGATGCTTTAAATTGTAAACAAGTAGCAAGAAGTCCTATTGAGATAGATTTTAACTAATTATAAAATCGACTTCATTTCATTTAAAAATACAATTTTAATATGAACAAAAAAAATCATATTCATATTGCGAAATTTTTCAATAAAAACTTACATTTGTTTTTCACAATAACTTTCAATAATAGCAAACGTTTATATAACCTAAATAAAAGAAAACATTAGTTATTCATTTTTTTATAAGCAAAACAAACCGTACTTAGATCAAATAAATACAGGATGAGATAAAAACGTTTATTATAATATATCACTATTAGATATACTTTGATTTTGCTATTCACTCTTTTATTCTGATCTTCTGCTTATTTATGTCATATATATATATGTTGCTCGACGAAATTATAACTTCGTTAGACAAAATTGACGAAATTCTAATTATTTTGTCTGACGACAATATAACTCAATCAATTTTGTCTGACGAATTTATAATTTCGTCGAGCAATGTCACTTCTTTACGACATATACAGTGCTGGTCAACATTATCCGACCATCACAGAAAATTATATTATTAACTTTATATTTCAATGATAGAAGACGCTATAGAGCTTTGACTTCCTGTAAACTGTTCTAGTATATATGCACCAAATTTCATCTAATTCTATCAAACTGTTGTTTTTATTGACATATTCGTCTTGTTGAATATTTTCTTGATAAAAACTTAAATGGTAATATAACAGATAAACCAAATACAACAGATAAAAAAACGATTTGCTTTTAAGTAAAATTGAAAGTAAACTAAAATCATTTCGTAGATGTGTATTGAGACAGTTGTATTGACGATAGAATGAAATATATATAGGAATATCGTCTTATTATTCATCAAATAAAAGTAATATACTTTTGATAAATATTGAAAAAATACATTTAACGGACGATAATAAAGGTATTTATACCTCTATCACCTATTCATTTGGAAAAAAATTCATTTTAGCCACGACTTTTCTCAACAAATCATTATCAACAAAAAGAATCTGTTCAAAAGACGACTTCAACAAATGGTTTGACCGAATTCAATTTAACTATGGGTGTGGGATGTGTTTGTTGGTGTGAGTGGTGTGTGGTTGTAGATGTGTGGATTTGGAGTGTGAGGGTGTAGGTGTCAAAGAAAAATAATAGCATACACTCACATCCAACTTTATTCTCAATGGAAATACTCAACAGATCGTGTTTTTTCCAAATTATTCACCTCCCAAAATCTTAGGACGCGAATTCGCGTCGCCCGTACTCAAAGGGTTAATAGTTGGATAGATTCTCTGATAATATGTCTATAATGAGTCGTTTCTAACGTGTCTGTATGAGTAAGTGCTAATTTCTACCTTATTATATTAATTGAAGAATGAATAGAAGAAATCTAGAGCATCAGTTTTTACTATTAGATAATAGAGAGAGAAAGTTTGTTTAAGAGTCCTCCCTTATTCATGACCTAAAGTTTTTTTTTATTCAATAATTATTCTAATCCTAAATGACAAAAATTTCTATTTAAATTCTTTGTCTTTGTGTTTTAAAGAATCTTAAAATAGATTTGTTCAAACTCGTTGATCATCACGTTTAAAAGAAAAATCTCAACCAATTAATCAATATCGTTGATCAACTATAAAACGTCGTTTAAGTAGAGAACTTCAAACAAAATCAACATAAACAAATTATATATTAAATAATGAATATAAATATTTCTATAGATGATCATTATAAAAAGAATAAATAACAAATAAATGTAAAACAAGATATTATATTATTGAAATATATCATAAATCAATTCAAACAGATTTTTAAATTAAATCAGATAAATCAACATATAGAGATTTTATTGATCAACCATTTTGTGAAAATAGTACACAAACAAAACAAATATATGAACAATAAAGACAAACAATTGATCTTAATTGTCCAAATGATTGAAAACGTTTATTTATGTCAGAGAAGAACAAGTCAAATAGAATGTTATCGTATATTAACATAATTATCACCATATATAGATTTATCATTAACAAATAGTTATTATGATCATTGACAATTATTTCAAACTCTTTCAAATACAGAAGAACATCCAAATGGTGGTGCAACTCTTATACCTACATATTATAATCAATTTCTATGTTTATCAAATGAAAATATTCATTTATTTCTTAATTTTTTTTAATCTTGTTTATGGTGAAACAAATAAACGTGCTCAATATCCTATTGGTGTTATAGATGATGGTAAAACGATATTTACCTGATTTAGTTGATTATTTTAGTGTTAACATATCGAAAAATGATTGTTAAAACAATAAATATATTTAATTGAAAAGATATTTTAATAACAACTATCGGACGAATATAGAAATCATTTTCTACAAATTTATTCAAATCGAACATTTCGTATCGACCATTAATCAGTATATCATTTGTTGGGATGACTACCGGAAAAGAAGAATGTCGGAAGAAAAAATAAAAGAATTCATTGTTTTTTTCCTAACCAATCAATGTAATGTGCCAATTTATCAAATATACCTTGTAGAACTGACTAACAGAGAGAATATAGATAAGAATCTAGTGTCCTGCACTTTACACAGAGACTTACGGTTTTCACTGTTCAACGAGAGAATAGAATATTCGAACCCATCGAAATTTGATTGGTTAGAAATTGACTAATCACATCAGTTCTTTGTGGACGATGCTCGAAAACGATATTTTCAAGCTATTTACCTTTTCAATCTAAGCAAGACCGATATTCCTAACTTGTTCTCTTTGACAATTCTAACACTTTTTTTCTGAGAATCTCGATTTCAGCCAATTGACCTGTGATCATTCGGAAAAGTAGTTAGGCAGAGCTAATTCATTATCTATCCGAAATAATTTGACACTATTACATAGATCGAAAAGAAAAATTATCTTCAAAATATCATCTTCGAAAATCTTCACCAACAACTCATCTCATTGGTCAATTTGATGACCAATTCGATTTCGATATGCTTCAGTTTAGAACACTTACAATACACTGATATCTTCATGATCAAAGATATTAGTTATTTTCACTATGTTACACTGACTTCGGAAACGAGAGTCAAAGACAGATATGGAAATTTTCAATCTTCTTCCATAATAATATGACAACAGGATGATTTAGTTCCGTAGCTAATCAACGGAAGTCTTTCAACTGTTGAGCTATGATTCAGGCCCAAACTTTTCTTAACATATTCATAATGATATACTTAGCTCAGTCGAAAAGTAATGGTGGAGGTCTTGTAATTCCTTATAGTAAGCTGTTGAGGAACTTTTTTTTCTATACACTCTTATAGAGAAAAGAGTAAAGACCTGCACGGAGTTGTTTTCGGAGTCGCCGTCGGAGTCAGTTAAATTGTTTGCCGAAAATTTCGTTTTATCATAAGAAATGTATTGATTTGGAGGTTTTCTTCTTAGATATTTAATGCATAAGCTGATGCATTTTCAAGGTTCCAATCACATCTAATCAAGGTTTGTGAAGATGAAAGAAAATCGGAATCAGATTCAACTCCGATTTTCTTTCATGTTCATTAACCTTGATTAGATATGGTTCGAACCTTGAAAGTGCATCAGCTTATGCATTAAATATCTGAGAAGAAAATCTTCAAGTCAATACATTTCTTATGATAAAACGAAATTTTCGGCAAACAATTTAACTGACTTCGACGGCGACTCCGAAAACGACTCCGTACAGCCCAGGTCGAAAAAGCACGATCGTAAACGGTCGTATACGAAGAAATACGTCTAGAAACGGTCATCGTATACGACGATCGTGTACGATGCCGTACGTTAAATTACGATCACCGTATACGTTGAAAATAAACGACTGTCGTGTACAAGTGTAGTATACAACCGTATATGGTCGTAAGTTAGTCGTAAATTCCCAGGTTAAAAACCTGACGTCAGATCGTGCAAGATCCGAAATGATTTTACCCTTATAAGATTTTCTCTATGAGCTTGTCACAAGAGCATATGATTTCTCATGTGTTCACTTTTTCAAGATTTCCTCAGA